GGTTATTACGTCTTTATTATGGATTTTCTTTGTCTAGTACGGTATGACCTGTCACTTGATTTTTAACAGGCTTTATCTCGGTAAATATTAATGCAAATTAATCGCAATTGCGTGTCCAGGTGTAGTTTTTAGTGCTCTACATACGTGTCTAAGGAGATTTGCGCTAAGTAGAACCGTTTAGTTTTTCACTCTAAGACCTCATACATCAAAATCTAGGTCGAAATGGTTGATTTTCCATAGAAAATAATTAATATCTCGCGTTCTATTAACATTAAATACTTCAACGAGGTGTCAACAAGTCAGAAATTTTCTCCCGGTTCCAAAAATTCTAGTCCCGATTCGATCTGATCACTAGAACGAAAGTTATGTCCAAATAGTGACACTAATTTCTTTGTCGCAGAAGCTGCGACTGACCAAACTGTGATTATTGATAACTTCTTTGTTTATGAACCGATTTTAACGTTCCTGGTCTCTCTGAATTTGTATTCACAATCTCTAGTTAGATATCTAAGCGCAATTTGCCTAGGACATTTCGTTTGGCCGGCGCGGGGTTTCTGACTTTGATTTTGTCGTCCGCAGCGGATTTTCAATTTTCAATTGTTAATAACTTTGTAAATAATTATTACACGGATATAATCCGGATGTTTATGGGTTCGTATTGTTATAAATATTTCAAAAATTCTATCTAGAAATCGCTGTGACGCGCCTATCAAAAGTTTTCTTTGTCTATAGCATATATGCTATGTTTATTTTTATATTGACTGTATCTTTGTTAATAATGACTCAATCTTCTTGATTTTTCGTGTCCAGGTGTATCTCGTACTTACCATCCAACGCCCCTAAAGTGAGTCAGGCTCACTGGTCTAGGAAAAATTTCACCGTCTAGACATTGTGTCTGAATTTTTACTTGGAAACTGTCTATTTTTCACCTAAAATAATTTATTTTTCGCGTTCTGAGCATGCAAATTACATCCTCCGGGTGTCAGCAGACTCGATTTTTTGTCGCGATTCTATAAATTCCAGGCTCGTTGCTGGCGGATTGCTAGAACGGATTTTATTGTCGAAAAGCGGTGCTATTTTCCGTGTTTCCGTATTGGATTTGTTATCGTCAATAACTAATGAACGCGTTGTTCACATTTAATGATCCTGGTGTTTCCAGGTTCAGGTTTTGACTCTCTAGTTAAGCATCTACCGAGATCTTCGCTGAGTCTTGTACTTTCAGAGTTGGTCCTTAGACCTTATCATACAAAAACACTGCGGAAAGTGTCAGTTTTACCTACAAAATAATTTATTACTCGGCTTCTATTTATGCTAATTGGTTCATCCGGGTGTCTCTGGGTCAGGAATTTTGTTCTCCACTTGAATATTATTTTTGCAACGCGCTCGGATGCGCCGTTTGGAATTTATCCTCAAAAAGTGAGGCTATTTTGTTAGTCGCAGCTGCGGAGATGTCTGAAATTGTTATTTAAGATAACTTTTGAATAGCTAGGCCTATTTTAATGTTCCTAGACTCTATGGGTAGCTCTTTTCATTAGCTAATGTGGCATCTAAGTGGAATTTTGATTCGACTCAGGAATTAAAAGTTTTCTTTGTACCTTTGACTTTTCTTGCAGGAATGTATCATGTATAATACAAAATCTTGAATGTCTTTTGAATCCGTTGTCTCACACGGATGGTTCTGGTATCGTAGGCTTCAGAAATTTATTCTTTATTTAGATTTTAGCATTAGGATGTTGGTCTATGAGTCTAACTATAATCGCTAAGCAAAATGCCCTTGTCTCTTGACAAGTGGGGTTATGTGACACTTTACGCAATGTTACCGGTATGAATCTTCGGAAAATCGCTTCTACAGTGTAATATATTGTTATTTTCGACTTACCGTCGATGTCTTCTTCCTGTTTTCGGCGTCGGGTCCGTATCACGTACGCCTTTTTCGTTATCCCTCGTTGTCGGCTTCTTGCCGAATGATCGCTTGCTCGCCGCGGGTCTTGCAGGTCTTGGCAGCTTTTAGTCGTATCAGCGCGTTCGCCACCGGAATTCTCGTCGGATTTACGCGTCGCGGATGAAATCTATCGCGTCTTATTTCGCGCGCGTCTCTGGACACCTCCGTCCAGTATGGCGGCCCAAGAGGAACTCTCTCTCTTTCCAATATGGCGGAACTACTTTATGCCGTGTTCACTCGCGCAGTGATACACGGTCGTTCTCAATATCCGCGATTGCGACGATAGTTTTTTAGGCGTTATTCGTCGTTTCTTCGGCGGATTTGACGGAATTTATTACTTCTCGATGTAACTCGATAGTTTTCCGTATGAATTTGATATTTCTTGGCAACTTGCGCGTTTCGCGACTGTCACGGTCGCCATTCGGAACGCTTCGTATGGGACCGTCCGTTTTCTCTCTGTAGCAACTTTACGTACGATCCATCTACTTCACCTACGCGTTACCCTTCCCGTCGGCATGTTACATCGTCAAGAAGAGTGCATCAACCCGATAAATAGTTCTCCAGGCTACTTACCGGGCCGCGGAGGGTCCTGAATGTTCGCTGGCTTACGCTGTTAACTGTGTAACCGGACCTCGAAGGAGGTTGTCTGGCCGCTGCCTTCAGCGGAATCGAAGATGCAGGCTGCTCGCGTTTGCTGCAGCGGTTGGTCGCCACCCGTCCTAGAGAATAGGATGTACGGCGGGGCCCGGGAAGATGGACGGGACTCTTCGCGGGTATTCACTGCACTCACCGTACGACTTTCGGGTAAACACCACTTTATTTTATAAAAGTACAAATCGCGGGTATATTCTTCGCGATCGTTATCCCACGTTGGGCCAACGAGGCCTTACATATCACACACGCGGTATTTACTTCGCGGTTTATCGAGCGGTCGGCGAGGGGTTCTCTGCACGTCCGTGCTGTCCGAGCGACAGATTCCGACTCCCTTCTCCTCTCTCTCCCTTCATCTCTCTCACTCTTCTTTTCTCCTCTACTGCATCGAACCCCTCCCCGCGGCTCGCGCAAGCGCTCTTTTGACTCGCTGGTCGCAACAAAATAAAAAAAAATCTTATTATCTAATTCCGCACGTATAAATATATAACTCTATATAAATATACTCTTTTTTTTTCTTTCAGTGTCGCCGCTTGCACCTCTACGGATCATCTATACTCTCGGTAAGTTTTAACGTAAACATAATTTTCTTTGTATTAATTCTTCTTTCTGTTTCAGGTGACGGCAGCGTGAGACATCGCGGGACATCGAGGGACGTCGCGGGATATCACCAATCACCGGTAAGTTGTGTAGCTAAATAAGAAACTTAATCCTAACGCTTATTGCCCTTTTCAGGTACTTGAGTCTATTGCGGGATACCCATGGATCGAAGGTCTTACAGGAACAAAATGCTACTTAAGGTAAGTACATTCTTGGTTAAGATGCTTCAAGTATCATCGACCTCCTCGGTGATACTTGAGGTGCACAATTAACTCGATTAAACCTATAAACTACTTATAGCTTATGCCTTCTTAAGTCTTTAGATAAAAAATAAAAATTTCTTCTCATTTCAGGATTATATGCGGGTGCTCAGGCCTAGTCTTTTGCCTACTTCTTACACCTCCATCTCTAACTGGTACTTTTCGGAATCGCCTGGGATCCTTCATCTTGGCTCCGATCAATAAACTAAATTAACTATTGTTTTCCTCTGATTAATTCGATTTCTTTTTCCCTTATCTTAAGTTTTGGTATTTTGACTTAAGATAAACCTAACAAAAAATCTCTTTCTTAAGATTATGCGAACATAAATAAAAATCCTTTCTTAAGTCAAATAAAATTTTTACAAAACTGAACTTCTTAAGATTAATGCGCGACTTATTGCTAATTACTTTCCTTTCAGGTACTGCATCGCGGGACTTCGAGGGACTTCTCCACTCTCCTGTCTGCTACAGTTTCCGCTCGCTGCTGGTCGCTGTTCCGTTTATTGGCGCCAGGTCCCTCTGGTTCCTTAAGTGCCCGCTGGTCACGTCCTAGTGGGTCCGGTTCTCGGCGGTTCTGGCCCTCGTGGTCCGGATCTCGGCGGTTCTGACCCTCGGGGTCCGGATCTCGGCGGTTCTGACCCTCGGGGTCCGGATCTCGGCGGTTCTGACCCTCGGGTTCCGGATGATGGGTGTCGGGTATCCCCGGGTCAGGGCAACGGATGCTTGGATGATCCAGGTCCGGTCGGCGGACGCCGATAGACTCGAGGTACGTCAGAATCTGGTCGAGCTCTCCAGGCTGATCTTTTTTTTAGGGTTGGTTCGGTTAGTTTAGGTTAGGTTTGGTTAGGTTAGGTTTTAGTATGGTTAGGTTGTAACCGGACCTCTATTGGGGCTTAAGGGCGTCCCGTCTCCCGCAGCTCATCTGTCGCCGCTCAAGGACGCACCGTTGAAGATAGCAGGTTCGCGCTTTTCTAAGCACGGATCGTGGTCGCCACCCGTCCTGAACGGAGTATATATCAGGTCCCTGGAGGATGGACGGGGACCCTCGAGGGCACTCACTGCACGTTTTATCGTTTCCAGTCTTTATTCGTGTCGCACTACACTTTTTACGCAGCTGCCGCGTCGTCGCCTTGCGTCGCCTCTCTCGGGGTTTTCGAGCCGGCACGTCCGGTCTCCTCGAACGCTCGAAGCCAACTCTCTCCATTCCTCTCGCTCATTCATCCACCCCGACGCGCCGACGCAGACAGCTCGCGTGCTCTTTTTTGTACAATTATGATCTTTTCTTAATCTACTACATAAAATAAAAATTCTTTTTCTTAAGATAATAACAAATCTTTGGCTTAAGATAAACAGAAAAAATCGACTTCTTAAGATACTATCAAAGTGAATCCTTTTCTTAAAATAACGCAAAATAACAAATCTTTTGCTTGACATAAAAAACTCTTTTTCTTAAGATTATGCAAACTGAAAATTCTTTCTCGAGTCAAATAAAATCTTTAGCAAACAAAACTTAATCTTATCACCCGACTCACTTCTTTCTTCTTTTTTCATATGTCCGCCCGTTCCTCGGGCTTCTGGGCCTCCTCGACCGGTATCTCCGGGGGGTCCGGTCCGTCACGTCCCGGCTCTCCCAGGTTCGGGCGCTTCCGGTCCGTTCCCTGGGTGTTCCTCCGCGGCTGGTCCGGTTCCGGAGGGCTCAGGACCGGCAGGTCCGGCTCTGGAGGTCTCTCGCGCGGCCGGTCCGGTTCCGGACGGCTCTCCCTATGGGTCGCCATTCCGGTTCCTTCTTCTGCAACTGAATCAGTCAGTTCGGTTAGGGATTTCTCCGAACCATCCACGCCCCCGACCACCAGCCCCGTTTTTGCCGGCGATTCCTCCGTTAGTATGGCGATCAGTTGTCTTTCCAACGGGTCTTCCGTCTCCTCCCCGTCTCTGCGATCGCCACCCCTTCCGCTCTCGTCCTCCGGCCTCGGCGGTGTTGCAACGGTGGGCGGTTGCAAGGTTAGGTTAGGTTTTAGTTTTAGTATGGTTAGGTTATGGTTAGGTTCCCCCTCGTGGGTGTCGCCTTGTCGTGGCGAGGGGACTTGAAGGCCGGAGATCCCTCTCGGGGCCGTCTGGGCGACTTTGGTCGCTCGGATGTTCCGGGGAGGGTGAACCGGCTGGACCCAGCACACCCACGGTGGCCCAATGAGCTGATGGGTCCTTCCTGCTGGAGATCTAAGGATCTCCGGTCGGAGGGGCCCATCGGTGAGAGCCACCAAAACTGCATGGTGAACGCTGGACCATGCAGAAATAGGGACGTAAGAGGCTGGGCTGGGGAACCTAGGTTCCCTGGCTGAGACTCGAAGGTCCCAAGCGAGGGTTAGCCGAGCTCTTAGCCTGTGTGGCAGTCGGCCTGCCGGGTGAGCGCTGCGCCTGGCAGTATTAGGGGGGTGGCTGGCGAGGCCGGTCGCCAACTGGTGGCCGGACTGGTCAGTCACTCCCCACAGAGGGGCTTGGCCGATCCCCATCAAACGGCGTGGATGGCCTGATGAACTGGGCGTGTCCCCCACCGCCGGGGATCTTGGTCTTCGGTTGGGGCCCCCCCCCCTGGAGGGCCATCCAGGTGTGAATGAGTGTGATTGAGTGTGTGAGTGAGGTGTGGTCGGACCCGGATGGATATTCCCTGTAGACTAACCAAGGGGGGAGTAGTAGCCCCCCGACGCCGGCTGTGTGTGATGTTAGTACCTGACCTCTGCCGCGTAAGACGTCGTGAGCTCCTGTAGGCGGGGGATTCCCCCCGGGCCCTCCGGGCGACAAGGTCGCGCGGATGTCCCGGTGGGGTGAACCTGCGCTGCAATAGGAGCAAGATCGGCCTGAAAGGGCATGTTCAACGTTGGGGAACCGCTCGCACACGGTCGACGAGCCAATGCATCGGTTGAAGTCTGGGATCCCGGGTGCACGTATGGAGGATTACCCGGTCAGTATTTCCTCATACCCGGAGCTGCATAGGGTAAATTGTAGCACCGTCTGGCCTGAGGTTTGGAGGAGCGGCCCTTTCGGAGGGGTGCGCGTCCACTCGATAGGGGTGACGTTAAACCTTTAGCATCATTATGGCGCGGGTCTATCCTGTAACATTTTTTAGTAGAGTTATTCATGCACGGATAGATGTTGACCAACCGATAAGCCGCTTCTCGGCTTCTGTGCATTTTAACTAGGGTTAAACTTTAGGCGGGGAAGCACCCTCATTGCGTTATGGGGGTCCCATGATGGGCGAACCGCTATAAACACCAATATATAGACATGGAATCTCAAACACAATTCCCGATACGGCCCCAGGGGGAAAAAACTAGGTACGAGAAAGCAGAATCTCCGTACGAGGAGAATGGCCACACTAGCCGGGAAGGAGGCGAGAGTAGAGGCGGACCACCACCTGCCTGCCTTGCGAGCGACCCCAGCTCCTTTAAGGGGTTCGCACACATGGATGACTTGCTGGCTACAGATATGCCAGGCTCTCCAGAGGCAGAGACCTGCATAGTGCTTATACCAGATTCCATGGAAGGATACCAGTATGAAGCAGAAGAGGTGCAAGGCGATCCACTTGAGCTTCCAATTGCGGCGGTCCCATTGGACACGCAGGAGGAAGCACCGATGGACGCTGAGGATAACGTTCCACTCCACATCCGAGTGAAGGTGGCAGGAAGAAAGCGGGCGGTAGTGGAGGAAGATGAGGAGGAAGACTCCCTTTCCGACATACAGTCGGAGGGGAACCAAATAGACCCGCTAGGTGTCGTTGACACAAGGATGGAACAATCGCCCGATGAAGCGGTGCGGACAACTGATAAGCAACCCGCGTGCCCATCCCCGCGGATTACAAGGAAGAAAGGAGTAAAGACTGGAAAGGTCGATGAACAGAAAGAGAACACGACGACAGGTAAAAAGTCCTGTAAGAAAATGAAGCAGGACTCTAAGTCGCCTGACAGAGAAGAGGACCCAACGTCACAAAAGATCGTGACCTCTCCAATGGAGATTTTGGCGGCCACAGTTATAGGAGCCACTATGCATGAATGGGCCGATGAGATAGAGGATGCTCGACACAAGTCCTCAAACATGCATGGACGCCTGAGTGGGATAATGAAGAGGAATGTATGCAAAATCAAAGAAGGAATAGCAGCCTTGGTAGTCAAGGCGGAAGCCACTGGCGATCCGGCATTCCTCAGGATGAGGATTAACGAGTTGTTGATCAAACTCAAGGAGTCTGAGGGAGAGGTTACTCGGCTAAAGGAGCAATTGCGGAAAGTCAGTCCCATTCCCAAATCCCCACCAAGGAAGAGGAAAATGGGGGATGCTTCTCTAGGCAAGTCGGAAAAAGGAACTGCGGAAACAACAGAGGAAGAGCCACCGCTGCCTCAACGTCCCCCGATCAAAGGGGTCTCCCGCCCCATTCCTGGGATTGAGAGCTGCAAGGAGACCTCGGACACTGAGGGGGAACTGAGTAAGCAGATTGCGGCCCTGAAGGAGGCAAGGAAAACACTAAGGGAAAAGAGAATGGGACAGGATAAGGGCAGACAGGAAAGGAATGAAAACAACGGAAGAGAGGAAGGGGAAATTGGAAGTGGTAAAGTCCCTGGTACAGGAGTGGGTAACACTAGGGGGAAACCCCGCATTATAGAGGAGGTCGTCCTGGTTCCTCCAAGGTTTGATACCCTGAAAAAGGAAGATTTACCCCCCTGCCCCCCACTTCAGAGGGTTGGACGTTGGCCCGGGGAGGTCGTAAGGGGCATAAACCCCGCCGCGTGGTCCTGTCTGAACAGTCCTCTTCTGAAAAGAAGGGAAGGAAGAGTGCGGACATTCCCCCGATGCAGTCCCGCCGACGCACTCCGCGTACGGCGGCGGTGACAATCACCGGGGTAAAAGAAGATTTCCCCTATGCGGAGGCCTTGAAGGACGCCAGAACAAAGATTAACCTGAAAGACATAGGTATTGAAATCAGCAAAGTACGGCGCGCCCTTAACGGTGGCTTTCTTATAGAAGTCCCGGGAGGAGAGGAAGCTACCAGCAAGGCTAACCAATTGGCCATGAAACTAAGGGAGGTCCTAAAGGAAACTGCTAGGGTGGCATGTCCCACGAAAAAAGGGGAAATTAGGATATCGGGGCTAGACGACTCCATCTCCAAGGACGAAGTAGCGTGTGCCCTGGCAGATATAGGAGGTTGCCTACCAACCGAAATTCGGATAGGGAACATCAGATGCGCGGCGAGCGGTCTGGGAACTGCTTGGACGCAATTACCGCTCGCGGCTGCCTTGAAGGCATCAGAGGCGGTTAGGATGAAAGTCGGCTGGACTGTGGCTAGGCTCGAGCTTCTGGAGAACAGACCCCTGCAATGTTATCGTTGCTGGGAGTTTGGACACATCGGCAACACATGTAAAAGTGAAATATCTAGGGCTGGTTCTTGTTACAACTGCGGGAAACCTAACCACCTAGCTCGTGACTGCAAGAATCCCCCGTCCTGTGCCTTATGTAAGGGAAAGAAGCTGCCGGACGGGCACAGATTAGGAAGCCCTCGGTGTGGTATGGGCACCAAGAGTAAAGTTCCGGATCGGAGGCCGGTGAACACACAAACACAACAAGATGTTCAGGTGCCTCCAAGCGAATCTTAATAGAAGCCCTGAGGCGCAGCACCTGCTTTGCCAGTACATGGCTGAACGTAGGGCTGATGTGGGTATCATCTCAGAACCCAACAACATCCCAAAGTCAGTAAATTGGATACCGGATCGGACTGGTTTGGCGGTGGTAGTGTGGAGCTCTCAACTCGCATATCCCTGCGTGCTTAGATCACGAGGGTATGGATTTGTAGCGGTAGACTGCGGAGGAATGGTCATTGTCTCCTGCTACTTCTCCCCAAACTTAGAAATTGACGAATACGATGCGGCTTTGGGGGAACTAGCCGACTGCGTTCGCAGTTGTAGTGGATCCCCTATGGTGGTGACTTTAATGCGAGAGCCCGAATCTGGGGATCAAATGACACCACTCAGAGGGCCATCCACCTGATGGAGTTGATGTCAGCGCTTGATCTACGCCTTGCAAACATGGGTATGGAGCCAACCTGTATTAGAGCACAGGGTACCTCGGTGGTGGACCTTACGTGGACCCCGGGGATGCTCCTACGGATAAGGGACTGGAGAGTCATCCCAGGAGAAGAATTGGAAGTCCTCTCGGACCACAGGTACATCTCCTTTGTGGTTTACCCTATGCGCAACCTGGAGATATCTGTGGAAACAGGACGGGACGGCATGAAGTTCATTCGCTGGGCAAAATGGATGCAGAAAGATTCAGGGCTGCCTGGATGTTAAGGGAATGGGGCCTTAAGGACACAGCCACTATGAGCGCGGAAGAACTGGCTGGGGTAATACATGAAATCATGGAGGAGGCGTGTGATGCGAGTACCCCGCGAAATAAGGGACCGCCTCGACGTACTAACATGTATTGGTGGAATGAGGAGATCGGCAAACTCCGGAAAGAATGCGTGAGACGGCGGCGAATCATGACCCGGGCGGGAACCACACAGAATGTTGAGGCAAGGCTTGTGGCCAAAGTAAACTACAAGGAAGCGCGGTGTGTCTTGCGCAAGGCTATTGGGAGAGCCAAGGCGAAAGCTTGGGAAGAGTTGATTGGCGATTTAGATAGGGACCCTTGGGGCCGCGCATACAGACTAGTTATGGGTAAACTTCGTCGCGCCACACCATCGGCAACTGAAGTCATGCCGATCCAAGAAGTGGAACGGATCTTAGATGATCTATTTCCGAGAGGAAAGGAGCTGAGGCATCCCGCGGAAGTACAAAGGAGCGACATACAAGGAGCTCTTGCGGAAACCTCAGTCTCCCTGCAAGAGGTGAAAGACGCCTTTAAGGGGAAAAAGACCAAAGCAACTGCACCTGGACCTGACGGGTTCACTAGTGTTCACTAGGGTCACTAGGGTTTGGAGAGTTGCAGGGGACGAGACGATGGCCTTAGTTGCAAAGCTGTTTTCGAAATGTTTAGCTGAGGGATCCTTCCCTCAACTATGGAAGACGGCCATCTTGGTTTTAGTTCCTAAAGCGAACAAACCAGATGCTCCCCCCAAGTATCGTCCGATCTGCTTGATCAATGATATCGCAAAGGCGTTTGAGCGTATGATTGTGCGGAGAATTCAATCCTACTTGGATAAAACCCCTGGTGGCGGATTGGCTGATACCCAGTTCGGGTTCAGAACGGGTCGATCCACTGTTGAGGCCTTACTTGAATCTAAAAGATTCACAGAAGCGGCCATGGCACGACGGGAATGCGTGGTGGCCATAGGGCTGGACGTGGCCAATGCGTTCAACACCCTTCCGTGGGACGCGGTGCTGACACATTTAGATCGTAAGGGCATCCCTAAATACCTGATCGAAGTAATCCGTGCGTATTTCAAGGATCGCTACATCTACTACAGATGCGCGGACGGAAGGATTCATCGCAGTGCGGTCCGGGCTGGAGTGCCGCAGGGCTCGGTCCTGGGTCCGCTGCTTTGGATCTTAACGTATGATTGGGTGTTGGAAGTGAACCTGGAATCTGACTCCAGATTAACTTGTTATGCGGATGATACAATGTTACTGGTGAGTGGCAGAAACCCTGAGACTACCTGCATCAAGGCATCCATGTATGTGGCAAGAGTGATCAGGCGGATTGAACTTCTGGGTCTGGAAATAGCTGTAACTAAAACAGAGGTGGCCCTATTATGCGGAAAGGCGATGGACGGCCTATGTGTCCGCATCAACGGAACGGAAGTACCGGTGACCAACACTATCAAGAGCCTTGGCGTTATTCTTGACAGGGGTCTGACCTTCAAGAGGCACCTGTGTTACGTTGAAGAGAAAGCGGACCGAGTTCTGCGTGCACTGTGGCGCCTCCTTCCCAACTTAAAGGGACCAGGAGAGGCAAAGCGAAGATTATATGTTAACATAATACATTCGGTTATGCTATATGCTGCACCTGTATGGGCGGACCAGGTGGCCATATTCAAAACATACCGGACTCCCCTCCTGAGAATCCAGAGGCACATGGCCCTCCGAGTTATATCTGGCTACAGGACGATCTCCTACGAAGCGGCCCTACTTTTGGCCAGAATCCCTCCGGTGCACTTCCTGGCGTCAAGGCACCGCAGTGTCTACCAGCGCTTACAGATGATGAGGGAAGCTGGTGAAGATGGGAATGAGACTAGACGCGAAATCGGGTTGGCATCTGATCTCTTAATGTTTAGGCAATGGAAAGCCTCCCTTGAGGGAGAGGATTTACCAGGGAGAAGGGTCAGGGAAGCGCTTCTCCCGGTCTTCTATGAGTGGATGCACAGAAAAACAGGGGGTCTCCACTACCACCTGACCCAGCTCATGGCGGGACATGGTTCATTTGGGGACTACTTGACAAGGATGGAGAAAAGACCCAACCCGGATTGCCCACACTGCGGTGCGGGGGTCGACTCTGCTGACCACACGATTGGGGAATGCCCCGCATGGAAGGTACCCAGGAGCGACATGATTCGGGAGATAGGGGAGAACCTGAACTGGCCTGCTATAGTGCGTGCCATGGTACAAGGAGGGGAAAAGAAATGGAAAGCGGTGTCCACTTTCGCCACGAAAGTACTTACGGCGAAAGAAGTTGCAGAAAGGGAAAAAGAGAAGAGAGAGAGGGGAGGAGGAGGAGGAATCCCACAGGAGGAGGAGCTGAAGAAGAAGAAGAAGAAGTAGGGAGGAGGATCTTGAGGGGGAGTTATGTGAGGCTCACACTGGGGGGAGGGTAATTACTGCCCCTCCCCTACGCGGTATACAATGGGGAAGGACGACTCTTTGCAATACGGGGTGGGTGATGATGATGTGTGCGTACGCGCGTGTGTGTGTGTGTGTGAGTGTGTGTGTGTGTGTGTGTGCGTGCGGGTGCGTTGCGTGGTGTGGTGGAGGAGTTAGGGGGGGTTTGTGGTCAGTGTGCAGATTGCGAAGAGGGGGGAGGGGAGGCATGCGAATGGGTGGGTAGGCCTGTACGTACGTGTGTGCGTGCATGGTGATAGTGAGAGTAAGAGGGATGGACAGGATAGGAGTGGATGGCACGTGGGCATGTGATTTGATTTTTATGAGGAAGGGGGCGTGCGGCCCGTGCGTCGGCGAAGGGAACCTGATGTGTGTCCGTTGGAAGTTCCGGGTTCCCCTGGCAGGGGGACGCGAAGAGACATGGCGGGGGTTTTAGTCGGTATACCCCCAGAGGAGGTCATTACCTCTGGGGGGGAGCCCGACACTACCCCGAGGCCTGATCGTTAGGACCAGGAGCCCACCTCGGGGTGTGCGTAACGCATTTCCCCCGCCCAAAAAAAAAAAAAAAAAAAAGGTTATGGTTAGGTTAGGTTAGGTTTTAGTTTTAGTTTTAGTATGGTTTTAATATGGTTAGTTTTAGTATGGTTAGGTTTTAGTTTTATCCCTCCCCGTGGGTGCCACCTTGACGTGGTGGGGAGGCTTGAAGGTCCCGATGATGTACAGAGCTGTGCCGGCGGGGGTTTCGGCCCCTGGCAGGTTCTACCATGCCGGAGTGGTCTGTACGGAGGGACTGGACCAAGAGCACCCGACCGGGCTGAGTGACCAGCCTGGTCCATGACCAGCACGGTCACAGAGCGGGTGGGAGGAGATCATCATCCCTGAAGGCATTGCACGCCGGAGCTCCGGCAGTCGACAGGGATGACCTCCTCCACACTCGCTCCAGGAAGAGGACCTCTCTCTCCGAGGCATTGCACGCCGGTGTTCCGGCAGCCGAAGAGAGAGAACCCTTTCCTCCCGCCTCGGTTGGACCGTTACGGTTAGACCGGGGCGGAGGGACGTACCCGCATCCAGGGCTCCACCCCATGGGGATCCTCCTCCCCCGTGGTGCCTGAGATGCGGAGGGGTACTCCGGGCCGCTCGGACGTTTCCGAGGTCGGGGTCGGGGTACGCTACCGCGTCCTGAGAGATCCCACCCTCCTAGGCATTGCACGCCGGTGCTCCGGCAGCCGAAGAGGGGAGGATCTCTCTCCCTCGCTCGTCCCAGCCACGGCTGGGCGAACGAAGGATCCCACACCCGGGTCTGCACACCGTGGGACTATTCCCACGGTACCTGGGGGGTGGAGGGGATGTCCCGGGCCGCTCGGACTTATTCCGAGGTCGGGGTCGGGGCACCCTAGGGTGACGAGGGGAGAGGACCCCACCTTCTTCGAAGGTGGACTCCCCGACTTCCCTCACCCGTTCGGCCTCGGTCGGACGGACAGAGGAACCCACACCCGGGTCTGCACACCGTGGGGCTTGCCCCACGGTACCCGGGGGGTGGAGGGGTGTCTCGGGCCGCTCGGACGTATTCCAAGGTCGGGGTCGAGACACCCTCATGCGCCAACCAGAGGACTCATTCCCGGAGGCATTGCACGCCGGTGCTCCGGCAGCCGAAGGGAACGATCCTCTCCCTCATCCGTCCTGGCCACGGCCAGGCGGAGAGAGGTGCCCACACCCGGTTTGCACACCGTGAGGGTTTGGAACCCCTCACGGTACCCGGGGGGTGGAGGGGTGCTCCGGGCCGCTCGGACGTATTCCGAGGCGGGGTCGGAGCCCCTGTGTGCTGTGCCCGAGGGAATGCGATCGCATCACCCTAAAGCGGACCCTCGGGCGGCGCGAGCACGCTGGCTGCCATGGGGGAGACGTTCCCGGTGGGGTGCGACACCGGTGAACTATCTCCTTCCATGGGGCCCCCCGCGTGGCGGCGCTCTGCACGGTGCCCACATTGTCGGAGGTGTGGGACCCCCGAAAGCGGTCTGGCCACCAGAAATGGTGGTCAGGGCGCGTGTAGGGGGCGGGAGGCCAGTGCCGACGATGTAATATTCCGTCGGCCCGTGCCATATGGTGCTCCTCTGGGGGAACTCGGAGGCTCCCCCTTTCCGGGGGGATGCGGGCATGCCCGGGCACCGGAGCCGTGCAGGGTGGTGGGTTGGAAACAAAAAATGACTGACTCTTCTTACAATTCTTACTCGG